TTAGGGCATTGGTTATGAGGGAAAGAGAGCTAATGGGATAGGACCATCTCAAAAAGAAATTAAAGTAACTGAAGGAATGTAATATTGTATTTATAAATGGCAAAAAAGCCTAAAAACTTTGTTAGAGAAAAATGGAGGAAAATAAACTAAACTGTAGCAATAAATGTGATCCAATAAACAATCCAACAAAATGAAAAATATCTGTCAGATTAAATAAGTCTGTTTATGAGAAGCATATAACAGAAAAAAAAATTAGACACAAAATAAAACTGAAGGTCTAGAAAAATATTTGCTGTGCATCTACGGAATCCCCAAAAGCAGGAATTAGAGTCATGCTATCTGACAAACCTAAAACAAATTACTTTAAAAAATGAATAGGAAACTACATTGTGGCAAAAGGAACCATAGGCAACAAACTAATAAATTGAAATGCTCCGAATACTTCGCATCAAAATTCACAAAGAAAAAGCTACCTGAAGGGCAGCTAGGTAGCACACTGTATAGAGTACCTGCCCTGGAGTCAGGAGGACCTGAGTTCAAATGTGACCTCAGACACATAACACTTACTAGCAGTGTGACCCTGGACAAGTCATTTAACCCCAATTGCTTCACCAAAAAAAAAATACTACCTGATCTATGAAAAGGCATATACAGTAACACAAGAATGATAAAAGACTTCAGTATCCCTCAACAGGAAGATAAAAAGGGAAATATGAGACTGAACAAATCACTAGAGAAATGAGTTAACAAATCTTCTAAATGGGATTGTGAAAGAATATACATTGATTCTTAACAGAGACTGATCAGAGATATTGCAAACAAAAATAAGGCAGAAACAGTTAACACATACCATCAACACTATAACCCCAAAATATTCATAGGTTCATGGACCACAGACAAATGACACAGACCCAAATGGAGACTTAATCCAAACAAAGGACAAGTGATAGAAACAGTAACTATGTGAAAGATAATGATAACTATAAAAAATTTCAAGTGTTTTTTGAGTGGAGAGAGAAAAATTTCATGTACGAAACATACAGATATTAATAAAACTGAAAAATAAAGGAATAATGAACTGAATTTGTATTTAAAAATTAGAAAGCCACCAAAATCATTGATTATGATCAAGTGGAAATTTCCCTTGGATTCCCATTCCAGGGATGGAAGGGTGGTACAGCATTAGGAAAACAATAAACAAAATTAATCATATTAAAAATAAAAACATCCAAAACTACATAATAGGTACAGTAAAAGCCTTTGAAAAAATTCAGCAGTCTTCATGCTAAAAACTTTAGAAAGCATAGGAATGCAAGAACTTATTTTTAATATCAGAAAAAGCATTTTTCTAAAATGAAAAACAAGTGTTAACATGCAATGGAAATACAATAGAACATTCATCCAATAAATGGGAGTACAACAAAAATGCTCACTTTCCCCACTCTTACTTTGGAAATGCTAGGATTTTAGGTTTGGAGCAGGAATAAGTCAAGAGAAAAATTAAAGATAAATAAAGAGGAGGTAAAATTGCCCATTTGCTGATCATATGATAATATCATCGAAATATTCTAGGGAATCAGCAAAGATACTGACTGAGATAATTTCTTTAGCAAAGCTCCATGCTACAAAATACTGCCCCCCAAACCTTACAGCATTTCTATATAAGATAACAAAACTTAAAAAGTAAAAATAGAAAATCTCATTTCAAGTAACTACAAAATGCATAAAATATGGAGATTAAATGATAATTGTAGCTAACATATTGCGCTTGCTATGTGTCAAGTATTTTACTTATCTCATTTTTCTCTTACTCCTTAAAGAAATCAAGAGCTGGAGAAATATTCAGTGGTCAGGAGTACACTGTATCTATATAATAAAAATGACTGCTTCCAAAGTCATTTATACTTTTAATGCTATACCAGTCAAATTACCAAGGGATACTTTCTGGAATATGATAAAATAATAATAAAATTGATTTGGAAATAGAAAGTATCTAGAATATGAAGGGAAATGATGAAAAGATATAATGAAGAAATGGCAATAACACTTCCAGATTTCAAACTGTATTATAAAGATGTAGTCCTTAAAATAATATACTGTTTTTAAAAGTAGATAGGTGGAATGACCAATAATGGAACAGACTATATGAAGGAGAATTAGAAACACTGGAACTCAATAAATCAGTATTAGATAAAATGGAAAAATAAATACTTAGTAAATAACTGTTTGATAAAATTGTTGGGAAAACTGGAAAGCAGTTCTGCAGAAATGAAGTTTAAATCAATATCTTACACCTCACTTTTCAGTACATTCCAAATGGATGCATGACCCTGATTATGTTGTTAAAAATTAAAACAGAAACATATCACTTACCTCTTAGAGCTAAGTATAGAAGATGTATTTTGACCAAAATATAGATGAAGGTAATTAGAACAGATAAAATAGATACCTTTGAAAATGCAAGAATTTAGTATGGACCAGTCTCAATAGGAGTGCACTAATTACATTACAGATCAAGTGAAGTATGTTCCAAATCACTGTGAACGTGTAGAGTCATTTGACAACCTGTCAAATTCTACTGAGATGTCAAGGAAAGTAAAGCTTGAAAAATATCTTAATTTGTTAATTATTGATCTTTAAAGATCAGTTTATTTATTGGGAAAGGTTTTCTCCATCCAGTATTTTGAAAATAATGATTCTTAAAACTTTGTTGTTGGAAGATGTTGAAAAATCTGTTACCCGAAGAACAAACGACAGTTAAATTTAGCGGGTACCTAGAAAGTAGGCCATGAGTTAGTTGGTTTACTTTGGTTTTGCTACATCAACTAATCAAATAATTAGCTAAAGTTTAGAGATTTTATTGAATTTTAAGAGGTTGTGCAGTTACAAATTATACAGAATTTATTCCGGTAATACTTATCTTCTAGCCTCAAACTTCAAACACTCACCAATGCCTTCTAGATGCTCCATTGTTCCTCTATAGTTTTCAGTGAGAAGTCAAAGACAGAGAGGTCTTACTTTCATCTGTGGCTCTGTGAAGCTGTAGCAGGCATAGCATGCACACTCTAGTAAACAATCTGGGCAGATAGGCTAAACTAGGTTGAGGATAAATCTGTTGGTGAGTTAGGGGGATGTCTACTCCACATATGTGAAGATTTTCCCTGGTGGAATGGGTGGACCAGGACAATTTATCCCAATGACTGTGAAGGAGGCTGAATCAAGCCCTGTGGAGTGCTTAAAGCTTGGTCAGCAGACATAGAAGATGCCAAGGTCATCCACTGCATCCCAGGCCATCATCAGTCATCTTGACTTTTCTCTTGCCACTGAACTTCAATGACTATGGAAGAAAGAGTGAGACTGATGACTGTGCAATTGGAGCTCACTTAAATTTAATTGTTGCACAAGTCAAGGCATCACCCATTACATTATGATGTTACTGGTCTTCCTCAAAAATGAAAGACATATAACAATTTTCAGTCCTGGATAACAGACTCAGGACTTTACTTCCTGCACTTCATGGAGACAGAATTTTTTTCTGAGACTAAAGGGTACTATTTCTTTTTTTAATTAATTTATTTTGATTTATCAACAATCACTTCCATAAGCTTTTGAGTTTTAAATTTTTCTCCCTCTCCCTTCCCAGTCTCCCCAGGACGGCGCACAATCTGATATAGACTGTACATATACATTCCTATTAAACATATTTTCACATTAGTGATGTTGTAAGAATTAGAACCAATAGGAGGAACTACCAGAAAGAGGAAATAAAACACAACAGAAGAAAAAAATAGCAAATAGTATGCTTCGATGTGCATTCAAACTCCATAGTTCTTTCTTCCTATGTGGATAGTATTTTCCATCATGAGGCCTTTGGAGATGTCTTAGATCCTTGTATTGCTGAAAGGGTTAAGTCTATCAATATTGGTACCTAACTGATTATGAAGGCTACCACTTCTAACTTACTTTTAGAACTTCTTTTAACATTATTACTACTGTTAATACTTCTCAGGAAATCTTACAAGCATATTTGGACTCCAGCTACAAACTTTCAATAGAGTTTAGGAATATAGAAAATAGATAGTGGAGAAAAAGAACCAATATGGTATAGACATGGAAGTCAAGGGAAGAGTTTTAAAACGAAAGAAAACTTTATAGTTTCATGCTAAATCTACTTTCATTTTTGACAGGAATATTTTTTCTTGTATCTCAATTTTTTTTAAAAAGGAGCTCAATGTAAAAAAAATGAAAAAACCCTTGAAATTATTTGACATAGGTATATCAAAATAGTTATTAAAACATTCTTATTTTGCTCCTATGATACGATATGATATGTCCATAGCAATAATTATTATTTACAAATTATGATCATTTTTAGTTTTTCCAAACTAGCAATGTCTTTTTCATATTTTTCTAAGTGCTCAGTGGGCTTTTAAATAATATATTCTTAGTAAATTTTGGGATATATATAGATAAATAAGTGCATACATTTTATTAACTTATTTTCAAGATACTAAAAAGAATTAAGCCGAAAAAAAATTTATGGCCTATCATCCTGATTCGGAAATACATACAACTATATATAATACAACTATATATAAGGTGGCTCAAGGGAGAGAGTATGCTTACAGTTAGGAAGACCTAGGTTCAAATTCAACTTCAGACACTTAATTGCTGTGTGACGCCAGGCAAGACAATCTCTATTTGCCTGAATCCACTGAAGAAGGAAATGGCAAACCACTTTAAATACTTGCCAATAAATCCCCATGGACATTATCATCCATAGGGTCACAAAGAATCAGCACACATGAATGACTGAATAATAAATATATGAACTATATTGAAATTATACTTATATTGACTATGCTAATAATATCTCAGTGATTAAGAATGATTTCTGATTTCTGTAAATTCCAAATATGCTTTTAGTTTTCAGAATTCTAAGAAAGTTATGTTTTTAAAACTTAACAATGTTTCTTTATTTGTATTGTATTATATTTTAGGAAGAAGAACATACTTTTCAAATCCAGGCGGCACTTCTCCAGACTGGTACAAAGATTTTATCACGGATTCTGATGCTAAAGTGTTGGAACATTCTGGAAAAATGGTACTTCTTTTTGAAATTCTTAAAATGGCCGAGGAACTTGGGGATAAAGTGTGAGTAATATAATACACTTCTTAAAAAATGGATTTGTATTAATCCCAGTATAATTAAATTAAATTACTTATTCTTCTAGTAACATATTTCAAATTTGGATTTCAATTTTTATATTTCTGTCTTCTAAAGAAAGCTCATTTTGGTAAGGGTTAATTCTTATTTTCTGTCTCATATACTTCTCAGAGAAATTAACACCCATTCTTAAACAAATATTTCTGTTAAAGTCTTACTTAATGGCCAGAAAATACGAAAAATGGACTTTTTCTCTTTTCTGTTAGGAAGTAAATTTTAACAGTTTAGTTATAAGTTAGTCTCCTTTGTTAAAAATATTTGAAGAACCGGATCCCATCACTTGTAAGAACCATGTTTCACATGCACTTTTTTAGTCTCCATAGCACTTAATCAACACAGTGTTTTGCACAAAGCTGATATTGCTTAAATAAAAAGAAGGAAGAGTGAATCCAAGGGAGAGAAAATTGAACTAAATTTAATATTAAGCGCAATGTACTACTTCCTACCAAATCAATGAAATTACTTATTATGTATCCATGGTAATCAGCATTAGTTAATAGTATTATAGATTTCATCCGGGGAAAAAAAAAACAAAATAAAACAAAAAAGTAAATACAGTTTGGCTTCAAATTGTGGTCTTCTAATTCCAAGTCTGACACTCTTTCCAATATGTTGCTGACATTATTCAATACTTAATATTTGGAATTGGATATCTTTAGCTTTCACATAACTGAAATACAAAATAAAAGTTTATAGCAGACTACATTTACTTTATTCAGATTTTTTTTAAAACTGAAATTAGGCCAAATTGTTTCCAGTTGATTACTCATGTTGTCCTAGGTTGTGTTTGATAAGGCAGTTCCTCCCAAATCCTTCTAATGAAGTCCCTGTTCATTAGGTCTTTGCTGCTTTTGTAGAGTTCTGGTTTATATGTCATTATATATAAATGTAATATATATGTCATTATATGTAAGTGCAACACCAAAAAATTTGATAGCATATTAAAGGAGAATAAGGATCATGACAAGGAATTTTTAGAAAGCAATCTCAATAAACAGCACTTTTTTTTTCTTCCCAGGCTGGTATTTAGCCAACCTCTCATATCTCTGGACTTGATTGAAGATTTTCTTGAATTGGGCAGTAAGGAAATATCAGATGATAAAGACAAGCCTTGAATTTATAAAGGTAAGTCCACCCTTTAATGCTGAATTTCTGAAAAAAAAAGTTTTGATATCAATGAAGAAAACTATTAAACTAATGACAAAACTAGGAGCTGGTATTGTGAGAAAAACTAAAAAATAGATCACATAATAGAAAACAATGGTTAATTTGATTTAAAAAAAGAGAGAAGAAAACCAAATTACCAGTATCAAAAACAAAAAGGGTGAATATAGCACTAATGAATATGAAATTAAATTAAAACAATTAGTAGGAGTGCTTTTGCCCAATTATGTGCCAAAAAGTCTGACAATCTAAGTGAAATGGATGAATATTTATAAAAATTAAATTGCCAGACTAACAAAACAGAAAATAGAACATGCTCCATTTAAGAAAATAATTGAACAAGACATCAATGATCTCCCTAAGTCCAGATGGATTCACAAGTAAATTTTACTAAACATTTAAAGAACAATTATTTCCAAAAATATATAAACTATTTTTAAAAAATAGACAAAGAAGGAGTCCTTATAAAATACTTTTGATACAAATATACCTAACAGGGAAGGGCCAAAACAGAGAAAGAAAACTATAGACCAATTTCCTTGATGAATATTGATTCAAAGATTTGAAACAAAGTACTTGGAAGGAAGTTATAGCAATATACCACAAGGATTTTACACTACGAGCAGGTGGAATTTATACCAGGAATGCAAGGCTGGTTCAATATCGGAAAAACTAGCAGCATAACTGACCGTATCAATAACAAAACAAACAGAAATCTTATATTATCTCAATAAATGCAGAAAAAGTTTTGACAAAATACATCTATTTCTATTAAAAACATTAAAGAGTATAGGAATAAATGGAGCTTTCCTTAAACGAAGTAGTAACTATCTGAAACAATCATCAAGTGTTATCTGTAAAGAAGGTAAGCTAGAAGTCTTCCCAGCAATATCAGCAGTGAAGCAAGGCTACCCATTATAACCACTATTATTCAATATTGTCCTAAAAATGATAGCTTTGCAATATTATAAGAAAAGAAATTAAAGGAATTAGAATATTAGAAAGAACAATGAGAAAACAAAACTACCACTCTTTGCAGATGATATGTTGGTATACTTGGAGAATCAACTAAAAAACTACTTGAAATAATTAACAATAATTAACAGTTTTAGCAAAGTTGCAGGATATAAAGTAAACCCACATAAATCATTTGCATTTCTATATATTAGTAGCAGAAAGAGGTAGAGAAATTTCATTTAAAATAACTCAACAATATAAAATACTCGAAAATCTTCCTGCCAAGACAAACCTAGGAACTATTTGAACACAATTAGAAAACACTTTTCACCCAAATAAAGTCAGATCTAAACAACTGGAAAAATCTTAATTACTCATGGGTACTCCAAGTCAATATAATAAAAAATGACAGTTCTACCTAAATTAATTTACTTATTCAGTGCCATCCCAATCAAACTACAAAACATCTATTTTGTAGAGCTAGAAAAAAATAATATTCATCTGGAAGAACAAAAGGTCAAGAATATCACAGAAATTAATAAGTGACAAACTAAATGACCATCAATTAAGTAAATAATTGAGTAAATTTCAAATTTTATTTAGAGTAGCTATTTTGCTATGCATTTTTGCTGTGTAGCATTTATATGAGTAATTTTCAAATTTGAAAAGTGGTTTTTAAGTAGAATTAGATATTTAATGAAAGTTGATTTTGTGTGTATGTAGTGCTACATTACAATATAATAGACCCATTTTTACTATTTAATATGTAGGTGAAGGAAAATGGTTTCAAAACATTGATTATTATCGTTTGCCTGGTACTACAAGTGCACAGGCAAGAAAGAAATGGGCTAAAGAGTTTAATGATGAAACTAATGTGAGGCGGGTAGTTTTAGATTTTTTTCCTCATTTATGTTGCAGATCATTACCAGCTTATAGGGGCCACTTTCTTTCTTTGTTATGTTCAAAGTGATTTTGCTACTGATTTTATCTGGCATCCAGTGCATATTTCTTGAAAAATTTTCAGTTAACACAGATATACCCCCTAACTAGAAAACTGTTTTCCTATTAATTCCCCCTTCTTGGTTTTTGTTAAAATCCCTGTAATCTAGCATTTTATTTTCAAATTCTATTTTGAAATTCTCTAGTCATCTGATTTTATTATCTTCTCTCAATCATTTCACATAATAAAGTGCAAATCTGACTTTTGATTCATCAGTAATGAATTGGAATAAATCCAGGTTATCAAAATCCATGTAAAAATTCCTGCCTCAATAATAGTTAAAGAAACATAAATTAAAACAATTACAAGTTTCTATCCTATACCCATTAGGTTGGCAGAGATTAATAGACAAAAGAAAATGACAAACGTTGGAAGGAATGTAGAAAAACAGGAACATTATAGCACTGCCACTAGAGCTGTGATTTCATTTAGCCATTCTTGAAATCTGTAAAGAATTAGTAGCTAAAAAATGGAACAGAAAATGTCATGAAAAAGTGACTAAATTGTGCAAACACTTTTATTTAACCGTACCACCACTATGCTGATAATAACCCAGAGAGATCAAAGAAAGGGAAGGGATCTCTGTATCTAAAAATATTTATATTTATAGCAGTTCTTTTTGTAGTGACAGAGAACTGGAAACTTAGAATGGTATGCATACATTAGGGAACGGCCAGAGAAATTATGGTATGTGAATTTGATAGTGTACTATTCTATAAGAAACGAAAGGGAACGTTTAAGAGAAACTTGGGAAGACTGGTATGAACTCAATGTTGAATGAAGTGAGTAGAACAATGGTAGCAATTTTTCTTTTTCTATTCTTTCTTTCTTTTGGGGGTAATTGGGTTGAGTGACTTTCTCAGGGTCACACAATGAATAAGTGTCAAATTCCTGGTCTGAGACTGGATTTGAACTCAAGTTCTCCTGACTCCAGGGCAGGTTCTTTACCCACTGTGCAATGGTAGCAATTTTTACAATAAGAATAACATTTCTGTCAAGACAAACAACTTTTCAAAAGCCTTAAGGACTTAAATTTTTGGCTTGTTCTTCCATGATTCCAAGGACCAATTATTTGCTGTCCACCTCCTGACAGAGAGATATAATGGACTCTAGACTCAAGATGCAGAATGAAACATGCATTTTTTCCCTTGGATTTAATCTGTAGGGAAATTTCTTTTGTTTGTCTGCATATTTGTGACAAGAGTTTTCTGTTTCTTTCATTTTTTCCCCGTCTTAATTTAGGGGTTTAAGGTATTGGAAGAAAGAAAGTACATGTTTCTTAATTGAATAAATAAGCAAAATACATTAATCAGAGATTATTGATTAAATGTCAGTGTGCTTTTCCCTTCATATTTTGATAAGTTATTGCTACCTGAAATACTTTGCCTAGATTATTTGGCTACATGCTTCTGTTTCTGGCATGTGGCAAATGAACCTACATATTTTCTTATTCATAAAGGCAATATTTCATGGCAAATTTATTAATTTTATAAGAATAATTCTTTCCTTTTTAATTTGTAGGGGCTGGCTGTTCATTATTTCCAGCAAAGTGGGTTCAGTTGGCATTAATCTGGTAGCTGCTAATCGAGTAATTGTCTTTGATGCCTCTTGGAATCCATCCTATGATATTCAGAGTATATTCAGGGTTTATCTCTTTGGTCAAAATAAACCAGTCTTTGTATACACGTTTTTAGCTCAGGTAGTTTTCAACTTTTCATATAATAAATTGGAAGTACAAGCAAAAGTTTGAAACTGGAGAGCAATTATAGGTAAGTAAAATGACATTTCATTCTTTACATACAATCAACTTTTAGTATTTTCCTTGAACAGAAAAGGCCATCTTAAAATATGTTCATTGGTCAAGTAATTTCCCTCCCCTAATTAATATCATACATGTATATGCATATATATGTATACAGATATACACAAACATATCAATATATTTGCCAGTCATTGTATTAAGTACAGGGATTTCAAAGAAAAACAAGAACAGTCCCTTCTCTTACTGACCTCACAGCATGCAAACAACCCTGTTGTGTGAGGTATATAGAGTCAAAAGCAGTCAGCATTAAGAGGGTCTAGAAAAGGCCTCTTGCAGAAGTAAATTGAAACTTCAGGAAAGAAAGGAAGCTTTATAGACAAGAAAGGTGAACATTCCAGCCAGTAGAAAGACACTTGATTGGGAAATGGAATCATGTGTGAGCAATGACAAGAAGGTCATTGTCACTAAATCACAGTAAGTGGAAGGGAGTTAAGCCTAAGAAGATAGAGACTTAAGTTGTAGGATTTTATCCTAGAGATAATAAGGAATTACTAGAGTTTATTGAGTAGAGGGGCATGGCAAGTAGACCTATGCTTTAGGAATAAAAAGTGAATAAATAAACATACACATATATGTATGTATGTATATGTATGTATATATCATGCTTTATTAATGCCATCTACTAGCAAATCCCCATAAAAATCTACTGCTCTGTCTTCTAACTGAGCTACTATCCAATGTTATGTGGATATCATGCATGTCACTCCTGAAGACTATGATGGCAGTTTCAGGTAGTGTACTCCCAGCTAAGGCTCTTACATGGATCTTCTCCAATTGTTTGAAACTCTGACATTGGTTGGCCTGCAATAAGGAAAGAAGAAATCCAATGAGGAAAAGAAATCAAAGTGCCATGTATATTTGTAGCCATGTGTTGGCATTGGTTGAAGAATACAGCAACCAAATTGGTCATGCTTTTTATCACCCAGAGGTTCGTAGAAGTTCTTCCTCATTTAGAAGCCTCCATGGAGAGATAGCTCAACTTCCTCTGTTAGAGAATTTTGTATATACAATTAGTTCTGACTTAGTAGCCAATTAAAAGACTTTCTATCATCGTGCAGTCAGCTCATAGGAAAGTCACTGAATGCCTGCAAATGCTTAAAAACTGGCTATCAGAGTCCTCATCATTATTCATCAGCTTGTATTTCTGGAAGCAGATTCTCCCAATATCTGAATGAGTCAGCAAAGTGAATTGTAGATGCTTGAAGGACTTGGTTAGCCTTATGTGTTTTTATATGCAAAAGTTAATTACCAGATAGTTTGAAAAAGAAAATACTGGAAAGTCACTTTCACAGCAGTAAATGGAATAATGGAATAGGATGTAATCTATGGAGTCAGAGAGACCAATTAGGCCATTGTAGTCATTCAGAAGAGGTTGTGAGGGCCTAAATTAAGGTGGTAGTTGTGAGAACAGGAAGAAAGTTAAATGTGGGAGATTTTTGTAAAGATAGAAATGACAGTCTTTGACAAGATTTGCATACGTACAGTAAGGAAGATTGAGGGTAATACTGAAATCCCAAAGCTGGGCGATTGGAAGATGGTGGCATCTTAAACAATATTAGAGAAGTGTGAAAGAACAAAAGGTTTAAGGGGAAAGACAGTGAGTTCAGTTTTGTATATGTTTACTGTAGGGTTTCTATAGGACATTCAGTTTGAAAATCTGGAAGTCATCAGCATAGAGATGATGGTAACAAGTGATTACCAAAAGGAAGAGTAGGGAGGGAAAAGAGAAAAGGGCTTCAAATCAAACTTTAGGGACACCAATGGTTAACCAGCATGATATTAATTATGGAGCCCACAAAGGAGACTAACAGTAATTGAAAAGAATTATATCTGGTTTCGTGAATTCAAGTTATCAAGCACTGCCTATGCAAAACCAAGATCTTTGAAGTAAAATTTCATAGTGGTGAAATGTGCATATGTTATCTAATTATGGTTTCTAATTCTTATACAGGGAACTATGGAAGATAAGATCTATAAACCTCAAATAACCAAGCAATCACTCTCTTTTCGAGTTATTGATCAACAGCCAGTTGAACGCCATTTTACTTTGAATGAACTGACTGAACTTTATACATTTGAGCCAGACTTACTAGATGATCCTAATTCAGAAAAGAAGAAAAAGGACACTTGTAGGGCTGTATCCCAGAGAGATCAAGCAAATGGGAAAAGGAGCCACATGTATAAAAATATTCATAGCAGCTCTTTTTGTGGTGGCAAAGAATTGGAAATTGAGAGGATGCCCATCAGTTGGGGAATGGCTGAGCAAGTTGTGGTATGTGAATGTAATGGAATACTATTGTGCTATAAGAAATGATGAACAGGCTGACTTCAGAAAAACCTGGAAAGACCTATATGGTCTGACGCTGAGTGAAGTGAGCAGAACCAAGAGGACTTTATACACAATAAGAGCCACATTATGTGATGACTAATACTGTTAAACTGAACCCTTCTCAGCATTACAAGGATCTAGGACATCTCCAGAGGCCTCGGGATGGAAAATGCTGTCCACATCCAAAGAAGGAACTATGGAAGTCGAATCGCTATCACTTATTTTTACCCTCTGTTGAGTTTTGTTTTATCTTTCTGATGGTTCCTCCTATTGGTTTTAATTTTACTTACAACTTCATTAATATGAAAATATGTTTAATAGGAATGTAAATGTAAAGCCTATATCAGATTGTATGCTGTCTTGGGGAGGGTGGGGGGGGCGGAAGGGGGAGAAAACTTTTCAACTCAAAAGCATATGGAAGTGATTGTTGAAAAATCAATAAATTAATAAAATCGAAAAAAAAAGAAGTGATGCAGATTGCCTATGTCTATATTCTTAGGAAGCAGAGGAAGTGAAGGAGCTGTATTACTGTTGACCTTGAAAAGAACAAAGTTAACTTTTTTATCTTGGCATGTAAACGGAATTCCTTAGTCCTTCAGTTCAGTGGAGTACTGTATTTTTTTAAGGGACAGAATTTGGAGAAAAAGTTATTTTAATTGCATCCTTTGTTTTCTGTACAACTACAATTCCATAAGTCAAGGAGGTGAGTTAATGGAGCAACCTCAAAATCCTTCTGAAAAAATTAGTGTAACTACTGTAGCTATTGTGCTTGCCTTCAGTAAAATAAGGTTGTCTTTTCTAAAGTTTCAAATTTCGTGTTTTCTGACTCCTAATTTCTATTGCTGAAATATTAAAGCAATAGCCTTTGTTAAAGTGAGCATAAACAAATATCCTTATCCACACTTTTCTCTGAGAGTGTTCATTTTATATCCTAACTCTTGATTCTGTTGGTTTTGACATATTAGATGCTTTGTTTTGTGTGGAAATGCTTTGCATTTGAAAGTTAACTCTGTCAGAAGTAGTTTTCAGTTCCTTTAAATGTGATCATCATGTTCATATCTGCTCACTTGCATCCTGTTCGTAGGAACCTGACACGCATCACGCACAAAACTTTAAAAAACTTATGTAAGTGTTAGTAACAACTTGTATAGTTAATATTATTTTGTAGATTTGTTTATACTTTATGCAATACTCTATGTAAACGTCTTTGTTGACAATAAAACTCTATCCTCTGTGAAAAAAAAAGTTTCTCTCTAGCATGGTTGAGTAAGTTCACAACTCCACCAACAGGGCATTAGTGTCTCAAATTTCCCACATCCCCTGCAACATTTGTCATTTTCCTTTTCTGTCATATTGAACAATCTAATAGGTGTGGGGTGGTATCTCAGAGTTGGTTTAGTTTGCATTTCTCTAATCAAAAGTGATTTAGAGCACTTCTTCATATGCCTATATATAGCTTTGATTACTTTGTCTGAAACTGCTTTTTCATATCCTTTGACCACTTGTCAAGAGGAATGGCTCTTATTTTTCTAAATTTGATCCTATTCTCTCTATATTGGAAAAAATGAAATCTTGATCAGGGAAACTTGCTATAATTTTTTTCCAGTTGCAATTATTGTATATTCCCCTCTTACTCTCTTTCTGCTTTCACCTTGTCCATTCTCAAGTGTTTTACTTCTGAATATCCCCTCCCACTGTTGCGGTCTGAGAGGTTGAGACCCCTCAAAGACTGGAGTACAGGACGGGGTCATCTGGAATGAATTCACAGACCCAAGCATTCTTCAAGTCAAGGTGGCAGAGATTTATTGTTATGCTTTTCAGTGGGCAAGGATTCTTAAGGAATCTTCAAGAAACTGAGGATGGAGTGAGGGTTTATATGGAAAATGGCATGGGAAAGGAATGCCAGGGATACTGATTAGGCAATCCAAAGGTACAGGTGTCTTTGGGAGTTATGGATGGGAAATGTAGGGAGTATACCAGTCAGGGAGGGAGAAGACAGAAGCATGGCTCTGGGAGTCTGGCAGGAGGAAGAGTCCTTGGTCCGGCCAAGGACAAAACTCCTTGGCTGGGCAAGGCACCCTTCTCCCTCTGTTTTGATGAGAGAATGCTTGCAACAAGGAAAAGCTTTCTCACAAGACAGGAACTTACTAAGGAATTGGGAGGCTTCCAGAGACATGATCTGAGGGCTGGGGCCTGAGCAGCGCAGCACTCTCTCACCCAGCTTTGTGTAGCTACACCAGGGAGAGAGATGAGGGTTATGCTGGGGCCCACGTATGAGTAACTGCTAGACACGGTGTCCTTGGTCTGGGGAGTGATTGTCAGAGACAGTGTTTCTCAGACTAAGGAGAAATTTCGATACAAGTAGAAGCACAAGCACCCAAGCACCCCCTGATTCCCCCCCTTAAACAGATGGGACCCAAAATCTCTTTGGGTGAGGGACAAAGGTCTTAACTTCTGAAACTGTTTCCTGCTGGGATTGGGCATAGAGCTGTCCCTGCCTCCTGGGGTCCCTCTGTTCAAGGGTTGGTTCTCTAGCCAGTGTCTGGAACTTGGCTGATGCCAGATCCAGGGGGTAATGGGCTGTGGTCTCAGACAGAGGCTGGTATACAGCTTGAGCGGTCATCTGGAAGTGGTGGGCACTGAGCCTAGAGGAGACAAATCTGGCAAGGAGATTAAGCAGACAAGGAAGGGCCAAAAAGAAGTAAAAGGAATACAATCCTTTTATAATCCATATATATATATATATATATATATATATATATATATATATATATATATATATATATATAATATATATATATATATATATATATATATATATATATATATATATATATATATATATATATATATATATATGAGTTGGACAAGAATACTACTTAACATAGAGAGAAGCCAAAATCCCCAAGAAGAGGATGACCTTGGTGTACTAAGGTTTTCATGGATTTCTTGCATCCAGATGAATTTCTTTAGTCCTATTGAGCTCCACCTATTGAGAGTTGTTAATATACATACAGGAGGAGGTGTTGGCCAGGGCACAGACACCTCCACTAAGCAAGTAGATAATCCAAAGCTATCTGATTATCCAGGACCACATTTGCCAGGGAATCCAGAGGTTGTTGAATGTCCCAGATACTATAAGCTGTGTCATTTGCCAATTGGTGAATGGTCCCTTTCAAGTCGGAAAGAATGAACTCATGTTGTAAATATCCATACCAAGGCATGAGATGCTCTGTTCCCTTTTTAAGGTACCAGAGAGAACATTGTCCCAGAACCCACGCTTTACTCCTGTTAGGGTGGAGGTGCGGGTTTAGTAATATTGAAAATGGTCAGAGGTGATGCCAAAAATCCAAGGGAGCACACACCAAAATCCTTACAAGGTGTTAAACACTGGGTGGCTAGAACAACATTCCTGGGGTCCTGCCAAGTAGTGGCATTTTGCTTTACTTTTTCCCCAGATTCCTGACCACCTGGCCCACCCAACCCACAAAGGAAGGAGTATCTCTTAGGAGTATAAATGGGACCTGTTTGTAAAAGGTACTGAGGATCAGTATGATTACATGTCAATATTCCAGGTGGAAGAGAAACTTTCAAAAGATCAACAAGAGTGTTATAGTTAGAGGGGGCTGTAGCATTGTGTATCAATTGAGAAGGGAAAGTTAAATAGGGAATACTTACTAGGAGAGTGGCAAGAGGAATTGGGTCAGAGGTGTAACTAGGGAGTTTTCCCTCAGAATAGGTGGTACAGCTGGGAGAGGTAAAGTTCTCGGGACACTCATCATCCTTACAGGTGGTACAAGTCAAGAGAGCAGCAGAGAAATTTACAGTCCCTCCCCTGACAGGGGTCTTTACCTGTACAGTGGCCATAAAGCTTGTCTCTCAAGCAAGGGAATAATTCCCTGTTGAGAAACAAGATGTTGAGATAGAAAAATTTTCCCATAAAGGAGTGGCCAGGACAACAGGGATGGTCAAAGACCTCTGAGTCGGTTACATTAGGGAGGGGGGCTCTTGCAAAAACTGCTTTAAACAAAAGAGGTTCCTAACTTTAACCTGATAACAACTGAATAGATACACAATCTTGTTCCACAGGCTTGTTTATCCTTCTCTAATTATACTTCAGAAATTGAATATTTTACATACAATAAATTCAAAAACTGATTTTACTCTTACTTAGGCCATGGGATAACTACAAATTCAGATCAAAACAGCAATACCTCACATACTTACATTGTGCTCATGTCTTTTACTGACAATTTGCTCTGATCACAGAAATCTACTATAAAAGGAAAAGGCATGGACATGTGACATGCCAAATATGACAAGATAGAACATCCTTATGTCTGTTTGAGTTCAGATAAGAGTCACAGTTCTCCAGTCACGCAGTGTCTGTTTCTCCTCATAGTCAGACTCAGGAATAGTCAGGTGGGAAGCATTCCTTCTCAATGGAACGCAATGGGGAAACTGAGCCAGGAGGATCCTATTCTACATTGAGGCTAAGATTGTGCTCGCAGCTTTTTCCCAAATGAATCACATTCCCTCTAAGTAGACCTCCACCTGTTCTTGTGGCATTTCTCTGAGATACTGATTTAATGCAGACAACTATACCCAAACTTAAACTCAAAACAAAATTAATTATAGTCCCAAGAGCCTTTTACCTCAAACAGCAAGTTTCACTAATTACAGCCTAAAGCCAGATATAGTTAATTTGACTCTCATGGAGTTGCAATAAGCAATAAAGATTTGCCAGGACTCACATACATAACAGATTTCACTTTACATCTTTCTCAAATTTAAACTTGTCCTGGTGTAAAAACCAATCATTAGAAATCACTTCTTCAGCCAAGTTCAATATTTAGGACCTCCAAACCTTAACAAGCTCTTTTCTCAGGGCAGATGATCTGCCCACACAGATGGTTTCCAGGGACCTTGGGAAGTTTACAAAAGAAGGGGAATTGCCATTTACTCCAGGGAGGGGCTGATCCTGGTGCCCCTTCCTGCCGACCCCCTTATCCCAAGGAGTACTATTTGGAATGGGCAGAACCAACCTGGATAAGGCTTTTACCCAATCACCTCCTTTTCACACACTAATCAATTAACAATTCTAGGTTTTAAATTAAAACAGTAACTTCAGACAACTTAGTTAACAAGAATAACTTTCATAAGTGATAGTGAAATTGTTTTAGCTATAAGTCCTTCTTTAATTACAGGTAAAGGTGGAAATACCTGATGTTCAAAATGGTAGTTATCAAACATTATAAGACAAGATTAGCAAGGCTGACAAAGTAATATAAGTGGTTTTACACAAGTTTTCTATCATCCTTTAGTTTATTTAAGATCACACTTTAATAACATCCAAATCATGAAAAGCTGCTTCACACAACTGATAGAAAAGTTTAACAATTTGAAACAATACTAGATGTTTAAAACTTGAAAGAAGCACATTACCAATCAGGTGACTCAAACTCTGTTTAACGCATTTCCAAATTTCTTTACATAGAAAATCCAGCATGTCATCACCATTGGCATTGTATACTGGTCACATCTGATTAAGGAACTAATAGTAACAGTTAACATTTATAGTGTCTGCCCTCTGTCACACATTGTGTTAGGCACCTTCCAATCATGTGAGATTAACTGAGTCAACTTGCTTAATGTCACCCAGTTAACAAATTTCAGATCCATATATTTTCCCAATTTGCCTTGGTGCCAAACAGTATAATAAATTCTGACTTCAAATATTAAATTAAGAGCATCACATTTCATTTAAAATATTACCAGAATGAATTACATTACCTTTTGGTTGTATTCCAGCACACAAGAACTTTTCTCTTTTATGTGAGGCAGGAAAGATTAAGTGCTACCTCTGTTTTTGATCTGAGGGGAAAAGGTTCCCCTTTTCTATCTTGTCTTTCCCTCCACATTCAAAACTTGGCCAGAGTTAGAATGGAGAGAAAGAGAGAATTTTTTCCCCCAACAATTCTCCAAAAGTTTCCAAACCTTTTATTCTCAAACTCTCTGTTCACTCTGTTAATGCAAATAGATTATGCTTTTCTTTCTACCCATACTCCTCTCATTCCTACATCCTTAAAATTTCTTGCCTTTCCTTCTACCTACTTATCCCTGTGATGCATTTTGATTGAAGTCCCTTTATAACTGCACATATCTTATTTCTTTCTAATTTTGATCTGATACTTTGAGGATCCTTCTCAACTTGCCTTTCACCAATCATATAACCTAAATAATAAAATATTTTTATCTCCTTCTCTCTCCCATCCACCTGCTCCTCTGAGGCTGCTGTAATCAGGAAGGGAGAGGGAGAGAGAAAGAAAGTGGCATTCCAGAGTCCAGCTGAAGCCTTGGGATGCTACTCTTGCTACCTGGCTGCAAACGGACACTCACTCACACCACACAGGCACAAACACAGAACAGATACATGGTAATGACAGGGAGAATCTAAAAGCTCAGGGAGACTTGTCAGAAATCCCCTACACAAATCAGACAATTTTTTTCATGATTCTCCAGATCGTATAGAAACCAGTCAAAATTATCTTAAGGTCTGGGAGACTGAGCTTTCTCCAGTTCTGTAAAAGATAACCTAGGGGCAAATCTCGAGGTGTGGAGGGAGATTGGCCCATCCTCTTTGCATATAAGCCTTAAGAAAAAAAAAGGGACTGGCTCCTGTAGTCTCCTCGCCTCGATCAGAGTCCTGGTGAAGGAGAAAAAATCTGCAGAAATTCCCAAACAAGGCATCCGTTGTCAAGAGGGAAATCTGCTAGAGCCTGTCGCAGGCTCGACCCAAAGCCCCAGTAAGCCTTCTTAGGTGCTTGAAGGGTGACCCAATTACAGGGAGAGAGGAGGGGGAGGCTTACCTTGACTCGGAGAAGGCTTGAGATTTCAGACAAGCCCCACTTTGGGTGCCATAAATGTTTCAGTCTGAGAGGTCGAGACCCCTCAAAGACTGGAGTACAGGATGGGGTCATCTGGAATGAATTCACAGACCCAAGCATTCTTCAAGTCAAGGTGGCAGAGATTTATTGTTATGCTTTTCAGTGGGCAAGGATTCTTAAGGAACCTTCAAGGGACTGAAGATGGTGTGAGGGTTTATATGGAAAAGGGCATGGGAAAGGAATGCCAGGGACACTGATGAGGTAATCCAAAGGTCTAGGTGTCTTTGGGAGCTATGGATGGGAAAGTGTAGGGAGTATACCAGTCAGGGAGGGAGAAGACAGAAGCATGGCTCTCGGGAGTCTGGCAGGAGGAAGAGTCCTTGGGCCGGCCAAGGACAAAACTCCTTGGGCTGGGCAAGGCACCCCTCTCCCTCTCTCTTGATGAGAGAATGCTTTGCAACAAGGGAAAGCTTTCTCACAAGACAGGAACTTACTAAGGAATTGGGAGGCTTCCAGAGACATGATCTGAGGGCTGGGGCCTGAGCAGCGCAGCACTCCCTCACCCAGCTTTGTGTAGCTGCACCAGGGAGAGAGATAAGGGTCTTGCTGGGGACCACGCATGAGTAATTGCTAGACACAGTGTCCTTGGGCTTGGGAGTGGTTGTCAGAGACAGTGTCTCTGAGACTAGGGAGAAATTGGGGTCCAAGTACAAGCACAAGCTCCCAAAGACAAGCACCCAAGCACCCCATCACCCCTATTCACCTTCCCTTCGATCAGTCTCTACCCCACCACCACTCCTTCATTCCCTTTCCCTCCTACTATCCTGAAGGGTGAAGCAGATTTCTACATCCAACTGAGTGTGTATGTTATTCTCTCTTTGAGCCAATTCTGATAAGGGTAGGCTTCACACGCTTCCTTCTCCCATTTTCCCCTCTACTGCAAAATCTCTTTCCAAAATCTCTTTCTGTTTTATGTCAGATGGTTTACCCCATTCTCCCTCTCCCTTTCCCCTTCTCCCAGAGCATTCTTCTTTCTCACTCCTTAAGTTTTTCGATAATCATCTCATCATATTCAACTCACACCCATACCCTCTGTCCATATATACTACTTGTAACTGCCCTAGTAAGAAAGTTTTAGGAGTTGCAAGTTATCATTTTCCCATGTAGGAATGTAAACAATTTAACCTTATTAAATCCCTTATGATTTCTCTTTCCTATTTACCTTTTTGTGCTTCTTTTGAGCCTTGTATTTGAAAGTCAAATTTTCTATTCACCTCTGGTCTTTTCATGAGGAGTACTTGAAAGTCCTTTATTTGTTTCATTGAATGTCCATTTTCCCCTTGAATACTCAGTTTTGCTGGGTAGGTGATTCTTGGTTGTAATCCTACCCCTTTTGACCTCAACAATATCCTATTCCAAGCCCTCTGATGCTTTAAGGTAGAGACTGCTAAATCCACAGTATTTGAATTGGCTGTTTACAATATTTTTCTCCTTGACCTGGGAACTCTGGAATTTGGTTATAATATTCCCAGGAATTTTCCTTTGGGGATCACTTTCAAGACATGATTGGTGGATTCTTTCAATTTCTATTTTACCCTCTAGTTCTAGAATATCAGAGCAGTTTTCCATAATAATTTCTTAAAAGACGATGCCTAGGCTCTTTTTTTAATCATGGCTTTCAGATAGACCAATAATTTCTAAATTGTCTCTCCTAGGTCTATTTTCCAGGTCAGTTGTTTTTCCAGTGACACGTTTCACATTTTTTTCAATTTCTCTAAAATGTTTTGCTTCTAATTATTGCCTCCCTAATCCATCCCCACTTCTATCAGCCCTCTCCATTCTCTCATCCCATTCCCCTCCTACTTTCCTGAAGAGTAAGATAGATTTCTATTCACAAGTAAGTGTGTATGTTATTTCTTCTTTGGGCCAATTCTGATGAGAATAAGGTTCATGTGTTATTCCCCACCACCACATCTCTTCCCCTCCAGTGTAAAAGCTTTCACACTTCGTTTATCTGAGATTTGCCACATTCTGCTTCTCCCTTTGTGCTTCTCACAGTGCACACTTTTAATTTTATTTTTTAGATGTCATCCTATCATATTCAATTCTCACCTGTGCCCTCTGTCTAACTGCCCTAATAATAAGAAAATCCTTAGGAGTTACAAGTGTCATCTTCCCATGAAGGAATGTAAACAGTTTAACCTTATTTAAAGTTTAACCTTTAACCCTTATGATTTCTCTTTCCTTTTTGCCTTTTTAAGCTTCTCTTAAGTCTTGTAGATTAAAGACTTCTTGAGGACAGGAACTGTTTCACTTTTGTCTGTTTATCCCTGACATCTAACCCAGTGACTGGCACCTACTAGATGCTTAGTTGACTGGTAGGCTAAAACCCTGGAACAATGACAAAAGCATAGCCAGAACCAGGAGCAGAGAAGGAGGAATTCTTTATTCAGGTAGGCATCTCAAAGGCCAGGCTACAAAGTCTCTCCAAATTGATGCAGGCAAAGCTTCATCTCACTTAAATGGCAGGTGGCCAAACTCTCTGGGAACCTCTAGGATGAAGATGAACCTAGTGATGTTTGCCAGGATCAGGCCTGACTTCTTGATCTTTCTTCTGTGTCCTGGGAAGCTCCATGACAGACGAGGAGGGCAGAAAAGAATAAGGAGGGACCCAGCGCCAGTTAGCAGTAACATCCCTACCATTTATGTCTCCCTTTATTCTCTTTTATTAATCCTTGCTGCCAGCATCTATCTTCCAGATCTTCTTCTCTGCTTCCTTAGGTCACTGTCTCCTAAGTGTCTTTGATTCTTTTTGTTTATCTGAGCTCTTACACAGATAGAAGATGAATATTTTTGTGTCTACCTCTCCCTCACCCACCGTGGTAACAATGCACTTTCCCATTCAGCAGCCTCTTCTGTGCCTGTCTCCTTGGATCCTCTGATGCTGCTGTGGCCAACACATTCTAGCACCCTCTTCAGCCTGTGCCAGGAGTCAGAAATGGAAAGGCCAAGTCAGAATGGGTTATTCAAGGCAGATGGACAGACAGAAAGAGGAAAACAGAGTGAAGGAAAGATAAAGAAAGGAGGATAGATAGATTATAAAAGGGAAGAAGAGAGAGATGGAGAGACACAGAGAGAAACAGTGAGAGATTAATGAGATGTAGATGAAGAAACACACATAATCAACTGATCACCACCTCCTCTGGGGAATCTTGGGGGTTCACCTATGGTATTTCTGCTGTAGCTGGTGATAGTGAAGGGAGGCTGCCTCCAGGGATTCTGTGGCTATCTTGTTTTCTTCCTCAAAAATTTCCTAAGAAATACTGCTTGGAAATCAGAGCTGCCTCTTCTGAGATGCATTCCTCAAACCCCCAGGCCTAGCCAACCCTTCTTTACTTCCTCCTCCTTCCCCCTGAGCCCCACAGAGGCTCACACAGCTGCAGCAGCCCACTGTCCCCATCCTGCCCTTTTTGCACTGCCATTTTCTTCTCCATTGTCTTAGGTAAGATTCATTGTAAAAGAATTAGTAGAAGACTTCTAGTGAATTGAGAGGTTAAAAAGGAGGAGTTATGTTTGATGTTTTATTTAATGAGAATAAGTAGCATTTATGTAAAGCAAAGTGTTTTGCCTATATCATCTAATTTCATTCTCACAATAACCATTGGAGGCAGCTGCTATTATTATATCTGTTTTATAGATGAGGAAACGGAGGCTGCAACAGGTTAAGTAACTTACTAAAATGTCAAATGTCTGCACAGGAAGGCATCCACACTGGTGACAGCTGTGGCTTCAGTCTTGGCCTCAGGCTGGGTCAACCTGTCCAGCTGCTTCTGGATACTGTCAAGCTTCTCCGGAGTTAGCCTCTCTGGTCATAGGAATAGAAGTTATGTCAGATGCCCTCTCATCTGGGATTTTCCTGTCCCTACCCTATCAATCTCCCTTCCTGAAGACTCTGAATAGGTAGACACCCAGTCTTCAGCTCTATTTGGGGCAAATGTTCATCTCCCCCCCAAGAGAAAGGTAGGTTATCCTTAGGAGAATCTAGAATACAGTCCTAGGAAAGAGGAAGTTCATTTCTCAAAACAGGCATTATTCACCTTTCCCTTCCCTCTATCATTCTCTGCCCTCCAACACAGGGTTTCTCACCCTCCATCAGAAGCTGTTCCTTGTTGTTGTTGTTGACATTGCTGATTTCCTGGGATAGTTTGTCTGTCTTCTAATAGAAGGAAGAAAAGGAGGCCAGCTGCACCTAAAGACCCCTCCCTCCACAGGAATGCTTGCCCTCACACCACAGTATAGAAGTTCACAAAATTTCAGTTAGAAAGGACACCAGAGGCCTTCTTTCCTAACCCATTCCGGAACACGAATCTCTTTTACATCACCAACAGATAGCCATCTACTTGAAAACTTCCACTGAGATTGCAAATCTAGTTTTCTTGAAACCGTCTAAAAACCATGATAGCCCTCCTCCACTTTAAACACAACTCCTTAAAGCAGTAATTTCATATACTCTCCCTAACTACACTTTCAATTCACCCTCAGCTCTGCACGATGGTGGTTATTTCACTGTCCGCTTCTGCATACTAGATGTGTCCCTTTCTTCAAGTATTCCCCTTATCCTACATCCCACCTTCCATACTCCCCACCAATAACCATTTATCTTCAAATCCTGACCACAGGTTATCCCCTCACATGAGAGTCTTATTTTTCTCCATCATTTCCTGTAGTTGCTGGCCAAACTCCATTCTAAGGAAAAAGAAAGCAAAAGATTGGTCAGGGTCACTACCAGAAGAAGCTCACCCTCCAAACAATCACTAAGCCCAGACCTTTAGAACCAATGAAGCTGTAATCCTCCCTCCTCCAGGAAGTTTTTCTAGGATTCTTCCAGTATAAAAAGATCTCTCCCACTTTTAAATATTTCCTGTATTAAGCCTCAACTGTCTCATCACTTACAGAGTCGCTTAATTCCAGAACTTGAAGACTGATCATCTAGTCTAGGCCTCTCACTTTAAAAATCAAGAAACTAAAGAGAAGAGAGTCATGATGATGAGCTAGGAATAGAACTCAAAGCTGTCTGAACATCAGTGCTCTCTGGATCTTAATTTCTTCCCCTGTAAAATTAAACTTAACTATACTTGATGTTTTCTAATATCCCTTCAAACTCTGACAATCTAATTATCTATGGACTTCTCTTGGTGCAAAAAAATGCAATACAATGGGAAAAGCCCTGGACAAGTAGTCAGGAGACTCAAGAAACTGCAACTGCATAATTACACAATCTTGGGCAGATCCCATCTTCTCTCTGGAACTCAGTTTTCTTATTTCCAAGTAACATGGTTGGACTAGATGATCTCCAAAGTCCTTTCAAGATTTTTTTCAATTCTGTGATTTGGGCCCCTTCCAGCATTGCTTTGTATGTGCAATATTTCTGAGGAGGACACAGTCTTCTGACTCTAGTTTTCTTTGGTTCACAAACTCAATTTTGCCTTGAATTCAGAGACCATCAAGCACTAGCCTAAAGGCTGAAACAAGGTTTTACCTCTGATTCCTTTTCTTCACTTTTTTTCCTGGATTTTGGAGTTCAACTCTGTTATTCTCTTTTGGTATCCCTCAAACACTGCCAGCTGTCTGGAGAAAGAAAGGTTGAGGGAAGAGGTAACCGCAGAATTTGGTGAATCTTATCCCTCTCAGGCAGTTCTTCAGAATTCCTTTTGTCAGGGTGCTCTTAAAGTAGCTGTGTAGTCAGAGGTCAGTGAAGGGGGACATTTCATGTTGCTTGGCAGTTTGTATCCCTTCCTAGCTATCATGCTCTGAATCATGCCTTATACAATAAAAGAGCATTCAGTAATCACTGGAATCAAATCTACCTAACAACATTTATCATTGGGATCAATACCTTTAGGCACTTAGATTCTATGATCCTGTGAGTTGTACAAAGAAAACTTTCAGGACACTTCACACCCTTGTATTTGTATCCCTAGCACTTAGCACAGTGCCTGGTAAGGCCTAGTAAGGTCTTACTAAATGCTTGTTACCTTGCCATCACAAGGAAAACCAATGCACCAATGCCACTCAGGCCAGATAGCTCAGCACTACTTTGCTGGGGCCTTTTCTCTCAGGATGCTGGATGTGGAAAGAGTTCTGATGAATTTACAAGCAGGGGAAATGAGAAAAAGAGCCAATTACCTTACCCCTCAGTTTCTTTCTCCTGGAAATGCAGGTGAAGGATCCTCAGAGTTTCTAGAATGAAAGAAGTCAAAAGGTGGCCAAAAGGCCGTAAAGGGACTTAAATGGCACATGAACTGTCTTCTTAGGAGCCCTGTCTTTTTAGAACTACTTAACAATGGAGATAGGTCCCTGTTTCCCCCTATTACTAGTCCCTTCCCTCTCTAACTACCCTATATTTAACTACTTTGAATTTATTTGAATTTGTTCTCTTTATACTTAATCTTAATTTAGTTACATATATACTTATTGTCTTCCCCTCTACAATGTAAGTTCCTTGAAAGCTGGGGTTATTTCATTCATTCTATTTGTATCTGCAACCTAGCACAGTCCCTAGCACATAGTAGGTGCTTAATACAAACTTGTTGATTGGCTGATATCTTGCTTCTTGCTCAAGATTTCCTTCAGTTGTGTCTCCTCCAATCTCACCGCAGGTGACAGAAATTAGACAGTCAACCTCACCTGTCTGTTCTCCCCACTCTTTGTATGCCTGGCCTGGAGCAAATTGACTGAGTGCTAGTCTGGCTGCCAAAATGGTTTTGTATAAGCACAGGTCTGTCCATGTCATAATGGTTGGGTTATGGGATTCAAGCTGGACCCCTAAAAGGAAAAGACCATGTCTTTGAAAGCAACCTAGTCCCTGAATTGTTCCATACATTTCAGTAGCCCAGATCACTGGTACCTTCCCCCAAGACATCTGGCCCACCCCAGCTCACCTTCATTACTCAATTAGCTTATTTGATACTCCTTAATCCCATCTAGACCCCTTCACTGTTACTTCTGTACCACTACTAGGGATTTACCTGTCCTTAATCCCATCCAAATTTTCTTACAGTCTTTTTCTGTATACAAGTACCAATCTTACTCCCATTAAATTGTGTTGATTCATTTAGAATCTTGCCTGCTTCTACTGGCATCACAATAAACTTGCTACTTTGACTGGAAAGCTTGAGTGGCCAAATTCTATTGAGGCAGACCTGCCCTGTACCTTTGCATTTCGGGGTTCCCAGCACTCTCAAACCATATCAATTCCACTCTGCTCAATCAATCCCAGTGATTCCCTCTGGCTTCTGGGGTTATAGGCCTAGAGAAAAGAACCCCAAAGGCTCCCTATGCAGATAACAAATTGAGGCCCAAAAGCAGAACTTAAGAGTCAATCAAAAATAAATTCCTATTTAGATTTTAAAGCCTTTCTCAATTTGCTTCCAGCCTATCTGCATAATATATTGTGCTCTACAACCCAGTCAAACTGGCCTGCTCTCTGTTTTTCACCCAGGACATTTTATTTCATTTCCCTGTCTTTGCAATGGCCAGGCCTGATGACCAAAATATATTGCCTCCTTATCTCCACCTCTTTCTCCATCTCTCTTTGTTCAAGCACCTCCATCCCTTTAAAGTCCTCCATGATACCCACAACATTCTAGCGGCCTTCATCAATAACCACCTCACAGATAACCATCATGTATATTTTCATTTTATATTCATTCCGTATTTGCTTATATATGTACCTATGATCTTTCCCATTAGAATGCAAATTCTTTTAGAGTAGAAGTTATTTCATTCTTTACATTTGTTTCTTCAGGACTTGGACCAAGATGATATCCACTTAATACATGCTTACTGACTGACTGATTTGACATTGTGGCCCTTTCCTTACAGATAGGAAAACGAAGTTCTAAGGATTGGCTTTCACACTAGGTGTCATAAAGGAAAGATAAATTGAGGTTACAAGCCTTGGGCAGTCTGTGGCTCTGTTTTTCTATCTGTAAAACAGTAGGCTAGGGGCAGCTAGGTGGCACAGTGGATAGAGCACCGGCCCTGAAGTTAAGAGGACCTGAGTTCAAATCCAGCCTCAGACCAAAAGTTGACATTTACTAGCTGTGTAACTCTGGGCGACAAGTCACTGAACCCCAACTGCCTTAAAAAAAAACAAAAAGAAAACACACACACACACACACACACACACATGCCTTAAAAAAAACCCAGCAGGTTATTTAATGTTTGTCCTTCTTTCTTGAAGAGGACTACAGCATTCCATGACGTGCAAATGAACTGGATTTAAGTGAGCAAGTGCTATGCAAAGTCACCAGCCTCACTTTCTCCTCTGGATGCATCTGAGTCCAGTGGCTTGATATATAGATCTGGAGATGACCCTGGACACAGAGAGGAACGTTGATCTTTTGAAGCTAAGGTATTTAACAGGTCTCAGTCTGACTGAGGCAACGCCAGCTCAGTGATTAAGGCTTAATATGAGGCAAAGAATGGTCTCTTTAAAAAAAAAATCTGGGAAAGTAAGACTCTCAGGATTTCTGACCAAACAGAAACAACTGCTGTTACATTCTTCTTAAACCAATTACAGCCCAAACCAAATATCCCGAGGCGTATTATTGGCCCATCACTGAGAGCTAGAGTGATTTACAGGTTAAGGGTGGTGATGAGGTTGGGAGCTAGACCCCAAAAAGGAAAAACCCTGGACTTTGTGGCCAAATCTCTGGCATTTGCCTAAGGCTATAATGGCATCAACTGGCCTTTCATTGTGGCAATGCCCCCAGTCTCCCAATTCTCTTACCCTTCATTTAGCCTAGCCCTCCATTGTCTTACTTCTCTTTGGCCCCAATCATTTCCAACCCTTGATCCTGGCTGGGCTCCATCTATTGGCCACAAAGTCCAGTTCCCAGGCATTCTGGCCACTCCCATCCAGATGTCCTTAGACCCCTCCTCCAGTCACCCAAACTACTTAGCCACTCCTACATCCTCACTCAGTCTTTCTATATATAAAGTCCATTTTGTCTCCATTAACATGCTCAGACTTTCATAATCCAGCCGTTGCTCAGATTTTTACAATTTTTCACAAGTGCTCAGATTTCCTTAATATTCTGGCCAATATGGCAGATTTTTAATAAACCTTGTCTTTGGCTGAAAGAAGGCTTGGATTGAATTCTTTCAGCAAAGATCCTTGTGTCATGATTTTGGGGTTCCTGCACCCCTAAACTTCTAGACCTCATCAGTAGTATTTAAGAAAAAAGGAAAAAAAGTTTCAGAGATACAAATTAAAATTTCCTTTGGGCAGAGCACCCTCTGGCAAGGCTTTGATACATTATGTGGATAGAGGGAAAGAAAGAAAGAAGCAAAAAAAGAGAAA